GATATAAGGGCCGTAGGCAGGTTAAGTGCTTCAGTTTCTTGAGGATTTCAATAACCATGCACTCCTCCCTCATGGTCGGCGTCATCTCCTCCTCGTCGGGAGCAGGTGGTATCGGCCCGGCAGGCTGAGGCGCGGGCAGTGGGGGTGTTGGAGGCACTGCGGCTGGCGAGGTCTTGAGCGCCGCCCTAAATGTCGATGTCTCCTCGATTGACATCTCAACGTCCAGTGTAGGGACTGCAGGCCCGTGACTCCCAGGAGCCCGCGGAGACGGAGCAGGGGCGACAGGTGGAGGGGCAGGAGGCGCCATCTCCATAGGTACGGCCGAGGCCACTGGTGTAGATGGCCGAGGTGCTGCAGATGGGGTCACAGCTCGGGCCGCGTGAGAAGCGCCGGGGATCTCCATGGCTGTACTGGAGGGCGCCGGTGCAGGAGGCTGGGCCGCTGACCGCTGAGGTGGGGCAGAGGTGGTCGTTGATGGGACGCCAGCAGGAGAGGTTGGTGGGGCCAATCTGTAGTTGTTGGCTCGCCCTGCAAGCAGGGGGCAGTTGGCCCTGCGATGTCCTTGGCCGTGGCACCTGGAGCACTTGATGCCCGAGGACAAATATGCGGGCCAGGCCTCGCCTTTAATAGGGATCTCAAGGCGGGTGGGGAGCCTCTCAGTTGTCATTCCCTCGCGGAGGACAATGAATGCCTCGCGGCGGCCGTCGTTGTAGGTGTATGGGCCGGCCTTCATCAGTTTGGGCGCAATTGATGTTACGCGCCCATAAGGTTTTAGGGCGCTGATGATGGCGGAGTCCTCCACGAAGAAGGGGAGGTTGCCGACTGTAATCCTCTCCGCTCTTTTGCGGAAAGGAAAGGCCCTGAGGAGTGTGCCCTCAACCTCGAGGCCCTCGTTTATGAGGCGCTCGGCCAGGCCTCTGTTCGCCAGTCCCAGGAGTTGGTGGCCGTTCACCTTGGAGACTTGGATAACTCCGGCGGTTCCCCCGAGCATCCTGTCTAGTGCCCTCAGGTAGTGGAAGGGCTGTAGCTCGGGGCCGTGCTCCAGGTAGATGCAGTGGTCCTCAGAAGAGGATGCCTGCCGCGCCCGGGCCTCTGTGATGTGGGCCCTGGTTGTTCTTACTTCCTGTGCCCGGGGCACAGATCCTGCCGAAGATTGCGGTCGGCGACTGATTCTTGCACTCCCGATGTTGGAGGAAGGTGCACCCGCTGTAGGCGAGTTCGCAGATTCGCGGCGCCTCTTTTTGGTCCTCACGACGGTAAAGTCGTCGTCCGCTCCAGGGCCTTGATCTTCAGGGCAGTCCGCCCAGTTTCTCAGGGCACGGGCAGCGCCATTGGATGACGTACCGGCCGGCAAGTCGAGCGTGACGTCACGCGCGGCGGCCAGATTTACATCTTTAACGCCTGCCGGCGGATTTGCATGAATACGATTTTCAGAGTTTTCTCTTAAGATTATTCTCTGAATTTCGTTTTTGTTTGATTTCTTCACACCAGTAGGAGATGGGATGCTGGGCCTTCCAGGCTCTTGTCCAGCAGATCCCGAGGTCCCTGGCGATGCCGAACTCGGCATGCTTAAAAACATTTCATCGCTCGCCAGAGGTGAAATACGCGGAGCTCGCGCGACGCGTGGCCGCACGGCCGAGTGTGTGTGTGTGTGTGTAAGAGGCAGAAACAGCTTTTGTAAGAAGACGTTGGTTTGATAGAAATAGATCTTATTTGCCCAGCTGACCATATTTTATCTAGACATCTGCTTCTCCCTTCCTGTGTAAATAGATCCTCTTTTAAGTATTTTTTTAACAAAGTGTGGATGTTAGAACAATGGTCAGAGTGGACTGGACCTTTATATTTGTTGGCAGTACGTTCTGTCTTAGTGCGTCTGTGGAAGATTGGTATAGACTTCCACATATATATTTATTCTGAATATAGAGCAATCCATAATATATGTATATTTTAAAAAATAAGGCTTATTTTGAATTGTAAAATGATTATTTATTAATCCGATATTTCGATGGACCAATCTTCCATCTTTTTCGAGGTATTTTACCGTGAAGCACGTAGCAGGTCGAGTGCCCCAGGTAAGCCACCAGACGTCTTCCAAGCTTATTGGACGATAAACCATCTAATATATACATTTTAAACAGAGTAAATATAATCAAAAGAAAACAATGTGATATCTCTTCGATGGTTTATCGCCCAATAAGCTTGGAAGACGTCTGGTGGCTCACCTGGGGCACGCGACCTGCTACGTGCTTCACGGCAAAATACCTCGAAAAAGATGGAAGATTGGTCCATCGAAATATCGGATTAATAAATAATATTATTACAATCCAAAATAAGCCTTATTTTTAAAATATATCTTTATGTGGCTAAGAAATATCTGTTGATTATTTTCTCTCTCTCTCATTGAATAATTAAATAAAAATATTAATTATTTCTTCTCCACAATATAAACTCGATTTGTGCGTTATATATAAAAAAGAATATTGAATATGTATATACATAAAAAATTATGTATTTATTCTCTAAAACATAAAAGTCTATATAGAAGTAGAGACCATTCTAGATATGTAATTGCGGTAGGAACGTCTGATGAAGAGCCTGGAGACCGAAAGTTTACGTTTTATGTAAATAAGTTTAATAAAGGAATCTAGATGATGTAAGTATTTTGTCAAAATCATTAGATAATTCATATAGTGACGTGGTAAGATTGTGTTATGCAACTTTATGTGACAATATTTTACAGAACGACATTTCAGCGATACACCCACTTCCAAGGTCATACACCATTTTCAAGGTCAAACATACTGTACGTTAAATCCACCAACATATCAGATACCAATTCTCTGATTTTCATTCCAATGCTATTTACTATAGAATAAATATCAACAGACCTTTTTACATATTGATATATATATTTTTTTCTCCCTATTGAATATAACAAAATATTTTAAAAACTTAATTCTGTTGACGTTATGTGGCGCTGAGTTTGTTGTTGATACATTTTAAATACCCTACCTTTACCATTAGATACGCCACCTTGATAAAGGTTGACGTTCAGCCAACTGAAAAATTGGTAAAATAAATTATATTTTGATCCAATATATGTCTTTTTATTTAAATATTGATTTATGGATTGCTCTATTTTCTAAATATATATACATATTCCAAATTATAAACGTATTTTCACATAAATATTATTAAAACAATTCGATATATTTGGACATAAATAAATAGAACATAGCTAAACTATTACTTGAAATATTGCAGAAGATATTCAGCGGCTTCCAGAATTAGTTGGTTTCAGACGATCACGCGAGTCGTCAATCTTCCCCTCACGCAACAGACGAACTGTTGAGTTTTGGCGCCTTTTTTTTTTTAAGCCTATTTTTCATTGGGCATTTCTTTAAACTCTTTTAATATTCTTTTCTTTTTTGGGGGGGCCACACGCTTATTTTTTCTTTCAATTTCATTTAATTATATATATTATTGTGAAAAATCTATGATTTACATACTTTCGTCCAAATTTTTATAATACTCAATTTGTTATAAACCACGGAAATTTCAAAAGTTTTTAAAATAGAATAAAGGCAGTGGAGGATTCAAGTTGCTTTTATGGTATTGAGGAACAAACCTCAAGACATCTACTGATCGATTGCCCAGCATTTCAATATTATAGAATGAAGAATGAACTAGTTGTTTGTGAACTTAACGATTTGATTTCCGATAAAAATCATATTTAAAGTTCAATTCATTTTGTAAATACATTCTAAGTTTTCTACAAAATCTGGATCTATAATGTTTTCATGCATTGAATAATGTAAATAACTTATGTAAATAAACTTTTCTCCTTGTTTGGCGCAAGTATCCTTTGCGGGATATAGCGCTTTGGAAATAAAATAATTGGTAATTGGTAATTTTTAAATATGAAAAAATAATAATTAAAAAGCGAAATTGTACTAATATGCATATGGCCGTGATGGGAGTATAAGTATGTGACTACTTATACTGTAAGTATACCATATATATATTATAGAAGCTATATATTAATTAATGCCTAACTTGTCCTTTTGGTTTGAGGAAGAGCATTGCTCGATGCAAATATTTATATGTAAATATACTGTCATAAAAGTTTATGTCCATAGTTTACTTAATTACCATTTTTAATATTCCACCCTTCAGTGTAGCATATATAAGCAGAATGATCTGAATTACACATTAACATATTTAAATAAATACAGAGGCTGCTTGGCCGGCATTCATATTTCTTAAAAAGTCAAAGATACTTCTGCCAGTAAATCTTTTTATTATCTTGAATCTTTTGTCGAAACTTCGAGATAATAAAAAGATATACTGGCAGAAGTATCTTTGATTTTAAGAAATATAACTTGAAAGGAAAAAAAAAACGATATATATACATTTTTGTATTGTTAGAAAATTGAATTTTATAAAAGATACATTTTTTTTCTTTCTTCTCTTTAAAAGAAAAGGGAAAAAAAGTGTTTTTTATCTAAAGCTGATAAAGATGTTATATAAAAAAAGGGAAGTTTATGGTGGTCGACGAAGCGAGATAACGGGGTGGCGTTATTAAATTTTACCTCAATTTATTGAACACTGTCGCCATTTACATAACTACCACAGATTTCCTAGATTGATACAAAGACCTGGTAACGCACTAATAATAGTTAAGATAGTTTAATGTAGATGGCGCTAATAAAATATGAACTTTTAAATTAGAAATAGTTAACGCTAGTACTTTTTTTTCTTGGTAAAACACAATTTCCACGATGGAGATGCATGGAGACATCTGAGACTCTTCTTTGGACACGACAACAACAACAACAATTTCCATTGTAAAACGACATTTGAAAATTATCCCGCATGTGTTTCTTTTCAACGAAAAGTAAACATTTATTTTAAGGAGAAATAACGATTATTTCTAACCTTATGGATGAGGTATGAAAGGATGAATTGTGAAGAGTAATGATAAACGGAAAAATAAAAGTGACCAGGGATGGGAATCGAACCCATAGTGTTCCGCTTACCGGGCAGATGCCATGTCCACTAGGCTACCCTGGACAATTTCCAGCTGTCTTTATTGTAACAGCCATACAGACTTCGGTATTGGTAGCCCACTATTCAATGATGTCTTTATTGCAATGAGAAAAAAAATATTGGGAAGGCCTGAATCATCAGTGGTTAACCCTGCCAGTATCTTTCTACAAAAATAAAAGATCAAAAATATGTTCGAGAGTTTGAAAAAAAAAACTAAATTAAAAGAAACTTTTGACCCAAATTCTTTTTTCCCTTTTCAAATAATTCCTAGGTAACTATTGTTCATATACAGTATTACAGTATACAGAATTACGATAAGGCACAATTTGGATCATAGATTATAAACACAAGGTAATAAGACCAAATCTCCAAGTAAATAAATAGTGTGTGACATTTCAGTAACAACGTTGTTACCATCATCAGACAAGTACATTCATGATAAGGCACAATTTGGATTATAGATTATAAACACAAGGTAATAAGACCAAATCCAAATAAATAAATAGTGTGTTACGTTTCGGTAACAGCGTTGTTACCATCATCAGACAAGTACATTCATGATAAGGCACAATTTGGATCATAGATTATAAACACAAGGTAATAAGACCAAATCCAAATAAATAAATAGTGTGTGACGTTTCAGTAACAGCGTTGTTACCATCTTCAGACAAGTACATTCATGATAAGGCACAATTTGGATCATAGATTATAAACACAAGGTAATAAGACCAAATCCAAATAAATAAATAGTGTGTGACGTTTCAGTAACAGCGTTGTTACCATCTTCAGACAAGTACATTCATGATAAGGCACAATTTGGATTATAGATTATAAACACAAGGTAATAATACCAAATCCAAACAAATAGTGTGTGACGTTTCAGTAACAGCGTTGTTACCATCATCAGACAAGTATATTCATGATAAGGTACAATTTAGATTATAGATTATAAACACAAGGTAATAAGATTAAATCCAAATAAATAAATAGTGTGTTACATTTCGGTAACAGCGTTGTTACCATCTTCAGACAAAAGTACTGAAAATCTCAGTACTTCACATTTTCAATACTTTTGTCTGAAGATGGTAATAACGCTGTTACCGAAACGTCACACACTATTTATTTATTTGGATTTGGTCTTATTACCTTGTGTTTACACTGAATTACATTTACATATTTGCATCGAGCAATGCTCGTCCATAAACAATAAGAACAAGGCCAGTTAGGCATATAATTAAACATAAGGCAATAAAATGCGTCATCTTTTATATAGGTGTGACGTGTTATTTTCTTATGATAATTCGAAACTGTTTTAAAGGCGTATGATTCTTTTAAAAAATTAAATAATTTATACTGCCCTTACTGCAAGAAAAAATTAATGGGTGGGCCTGGCTCATCAGTGGTAAACCCTCCCAGCGGTTTAGCAAGTTTATTCTAACATATAGACGCGTGATTCTTTTAAAAATTAAACAAATTTCTACTGCCCTTACTGTAATGAAAAATTGTAAAACTGGTAGATTAAACTGGCTTAACCGCTTGGAGGGTTCACCAACTGATGAGCCAGGCCCTCCCATTTAATTTTTTCATTGCAGTAGAGTCAGTGAGAGAAAATTGTTTATTTTTTTAAAAGAATCATACGCGTCTATAATAGTTTTGAATTCTGATAACAGATGGCGCGCTATTGTATTATATTATTGTCTTATGTTTAATTCTAACTATAGGTAATGAGAGATGTGGAACGCTTCATGATTTTGCGTGTCATCCTTGCCTAGGGGCCACGCTAATCCTCTCTGTATCGCTCCAACCTTAGTATATGTACCGCCGAACAAGCGTGATGAGAGATGTGGTTGATGTAAAGCCAAGTATTAAACTGTTGGTCTTCCTCTTAAGAGACGTTTTAAGGACAGCAAAGAATGTAAATAGGTTGAAATGGGAAGTTTCAGGAGTTGATAAACTTCAGACGACGCCAAATATTTGTTGTCGTCAAGATTTATTTACATTTTAAAAAAATATATAAGTACCGTCTCTTTCTAAAAATACCCCTAAAAAACCCTAACCCAATTTTAGAGAGAGTGTTCCTAGAGTTTTCCATATCTCTCTCTCCGCGCTTCTATATGTTTTAATATACAAAAATTTGAATTTCACACCTTCATGAAAGATATTATAAAAGGAAATATATAATATAACATAATATTTATAATTTAATTTCATATAAATCTTTTTATATGAGCTCAATTGTGTCTTAACTAAATTTTCTTGTATAAATATTTCATTCGATCTATTATAGACGCGTATGATTCTTTTAAATAATAAAACAATTTCTACTGTCCTTACTGCAATGGAAAAATTAATGGGAGGGCTTGGCTCATCAGTGGTGAACCTTCCCAGCTGTGTCACCATGCTTAATCTACCATACCGCTGTTATATCGCATTTTTCGATTTTCCTTTTATAATGATACTGATGCTAGATTCTTGGAATGGGTATTTTAAATGAACTATGGACATAAGCTTTGAGGACAGCAGAATTACATACAATTATAAATTGTATATAATACAACTATACAATATTTTATCTTTTTTCCCTTCATTTGCAGAGACTCCGTGTTAAATCCATGTATAAGAAATTTCTCTTTCTCTAATTTACTCTGAAATCTTAATTAAATTTTCCTGTATATAAATTTCATATTACAATTAAATGTGATTAACTTTAAAAATGATAATAACATTGCTTATTACTGGTACTATTACTGTTATTCCTGTATGTACCCTATATTTCTGCTTGGAGAATCTGTATAAGACTAAAAGGTCTTAATAAGGTTTTTGTTGTTACTGGTACTATTATTGTTATTCCTGTATGTACCCTACATTTCTGCTTGGAGAATCTGTATAAGACTAAAAGGTCTTAATAACGCTTTTTGTTGTTACTGGTACTATTACTGTTATTCCTGTATGTACGCTACATTTCTGTGTGCTTGGAGAATCTGTAAGAGACTAAAAGGTCTTAATAAAGCTTTTTGTTGTTACTGGTACTATTACTGTTATTCCTGTATGTACCCTACATTTCTGTGTGCTTGGAGAATCTGTAAGAGACTAAAAGGTCTTAATAAAGCTTTTTGTTGTTACTGGTACTATTACTGTTATTCCTGTATGTACCCTACATTTCTGCTTGGAGAATCTGTATAAGACTAAAATGTCTTAATAAAGCCTTTTGTTGTTACTGGTAATATTACTGTTATTCCTGTATGTACCCTACATTTCTGCTTGGAGAATCTGTATAAGACTAAAAGGTCTTAATAAAGCGTTTTGTTGTTACTGGTACTATTACTGTTATTCCTGTATGTACGCTACATTTCTGTGTTCTTGGAGAATCTGTATAAGACTAAAAGGTCTTAATAAAGCGTTTTGTTGTTACTGGTACTATTACTGTTATTCCTGTATGTACGCTACATTTCTGTGTTCTTGGAGAATCTGTATAAGACTAAAAGGTCTTAATAAAGCGTTTTGTTGTTACTGGTACTATTACTGTTATTCCTGTTTGTACGCTACATTTCTGTGTTCTTGGAGAATCTGTATAAGACTAAAAGGTCTTAATAAAGCGTTTTGTTGTTATTGGTACTATTACTGTTATTCCTGTATGTATCCTACATTTCTGTGTGCTTGGAGAATCTGTATAAGACTAAAAGGTCTTAATAAAGCGTTTTGTTGTTACTGGTACTATTACTGTTATTCCTGTATGTACCCTATATTTCTGTGCTTGGAAAATCTGTATAAGACTAAAAGGTCTTAATAAAGCTTTTTGTTGTTACTGGCACTATTACTGTTATTCCTGTATGTAACCTACACTTCTCCTTGGAGAATCTGTATAAGACTAAAAGGTCTTAAAAAAGCCTTTCTGTTTCTTGTTGTAATACTTAAGTTCAAAAATATGTTATCAACATATATAGTCACGACCGTCATGGATTCTGTCACGGATGCGCGCGCATCATCATTATGATCATTATCATTATCTAATGATAATAATAATAATAATTATTATTATTATTATAAGATCAAAGAACTTGCGCATAAAATTAAATCCAAAAGACAAAAAACCTCTCGCAATCAGTATCTTTTATTATTACAAATAACGGACGCTAGCTTTCGAACAATTAGTTCTTCAACGGGCGTTCTTACAAAACGAAATCAGATTCTTATCCTAAGAATCTGATTTCGTTTTGTAAGAACGCCCGTTGAAGAACTAATTGTTCGAAAGCTAGCGTCCGTTATTTGTAATAATAAAAGATACAGATTGCGAGAGGTTTTTTGTCTTTTGGATTTAATTATTATTATTATGATTATTATATTATTATTATCCATCCATTATATATATAGTCACGACCGTCATGGGCCGGCCGGCCGGTTCTGTCACGGATGCGCGCGCACAGGGAGGTCACGTGCTCGCCGGCAGCCAACGGGCGCGCGCCGCCGGCATTACGTCATAGATTATTAACACAAGGTAATAAGGCCAAATAAAAAAATAGTGTGTGATAAGGCACAATTTGAATTATCTACTTATATAATTGCCTTATTCTCTCTGTGTGAAGTTCACTGTGTGAAGTTCACGGATAGATTTTGGTCAGAATGGATAAAATAAAAAAAGTGTCAAGGGATGGGAATCGAACCCACGACCTTCCGCTTACCGGGCAGATGCCATGACCACTAGGCTACCCTGGACATATTTTTCCGTTCACATTTTTATTTTTATATTTTCAAGACACACACAGTTTGGGGCGGGACGTTTCACAAGAGAGACATCCACGGCGCCAATTTATAATTGTAACGAATAGTATTTGAATTAAAACATTTTTAAAATATATACGCACTCTGGTAAAACCCGGGCGTTGCCCGGGCCATTCGTCTAGTATTATATAAAAAGTCGAAAACAAAAGATTTGTAAAATATCAAACGAGTATCCCATTTGAAGACTCCCACGTACATATTATCTTTTGGTACCAATATTATATGCAGACGAATAGTTTAATATC